CCAGATGTCTGGTAGGCTGGAGGTGTCATCCCATCTATTCATGTTATGGGGGTGTTTCTCTATCTCGATGGCTTCCCTGATTATTCTCTTGCTGGAGTGTTCAGTGTTGGATATTAATTTGGTTCCTTCGAAATTAATTTCATGTCCTGTGGCTTTAAGGTCCTGGAAGAGGGAGGAAGTATTTTCTTCTCTTCTGACTGCGTTTTTGTGTTCTGCGATACATGCATTTATTCTCCTGTTGGTTTGTCCAATGTATGTGGCTGGGCCAAAAGCACCAGCCTGAGGATGGCGAGTGGGACCTCGCCAAAATGTCGCCAAGATACTCTTAATCTTACATGGGAAAAGACCCAAACACACCTAGACCTACATGTATGTATGTATGTATGTATGTATGTATGTATGTATGGCATTCAGCTTTGTTCGGGTATTTAAGAAAACAAATATGTATATATGTGTGTGTGTGTGTGTGTGTGTGTGTATTCTTAAGTTTTCGCGGGTACTTACATGTATGGTTTTCAGCTTTGCTCAGGTATTTTCCCATGTCGTTGTAGTTGTGCTTTTAAAGTTGTAGCAATGTTTCGGCAGAATCTCAAATGCCATCATCAGGTTTCTGTATTGTGACATGGGAAAATACCCGAACAAAGCTGAATACCATACACATGATACCTGCGAAAACCTAAGAATATGAATATGTGTGTGTATATATATATATATATATATATATGTCGGTCTAGGGGTGTTCAGGTCTTTTCCCGTATAAGATTAAGACTATCTTGGTGACGTTTCGGTAAGGTCCCACTCTCCATCCTCAGGCTGGTGCTTTCGGCTTCGTGCCAGTGCAATATATATATTCCATATATGCTGTGTTCTACTAAGTTACCTGACGAACATGAGATCACTGGGAAAAAAACCATGGAATCAGTATAATGAAAATAGCAATAGCACTTAGACTTATATACTGCTTCACAGTTCTTTACAGCCCTCTCTAAGCAGTTTTCAGAGTCAGCATATTGCCCCCAACAATCTGGGTCTTTATTTTACCCACCTCGGAAGAATGGAAGACCTTGAACCTGGTGAGATTTGAACTGCCAAATTGCAAGCAGAAGTAGCCTGCAGTACTGCACTCTACTCAAACCACTGCGCCACTGTGGCTCAAAAATAGCTTCAATTCAGTCAGTCAAACATTTATTATGACCCTAAGGCCAGTAATCAGACAAAACCAGCCAGAGGAGAGGTGAGAAGAGGAGAGATTGGCTAATTGTGATTGGACACCAAAGGAATTTGTGTCTGGTGCATAAGCTCTCAGTTTACATGCAAAGTTGTATAATCATAAGGAGAAGATAGTAGAAAAGATGAGAAGGATAATAATAAAGCAATCATACAATGTGGGTAAATATTTGTAGACATAAGACAATACTGTGGTAATTAGATGTTCAGCAGTGATGCCACGAGGTGAAAAACTATCTTTGCATCTAGTTGTTTTCCCATCCTCAGCCCTCTTTCTGACCTGTGCAGTATACAGGTCCTCGATGGAAGGCAGGCTAATTGCAGTTATGTTTTCTGCAGTCCTAACTGTCCATTGAAGTCTGTACCTGTTCTGTTTGTTTGCTGTACCAAACCAGACAGTTAAAGAAGTACAAATTATAGATTCAATAATTCCTCTGTAAAACTGTATCAACTGCTCCTGGGACAGTCCGAACTTTCTGAGTGGATTCAGGAAGAATGTTCTTTGTTGCACCTTTTTAATGATGGTTCTAATGTTAGGCGTGCGTTTCAAGTCCCAGGAAATTATGGAATCCAGAAACTTGAAGGGTCTCTACTGTTGATACTGTGCTGTCTAATATTGTAAGAGGTGGTTGAGTAGGAGGGCTCCTCCTAAAATCCACTTTAATCTCTGCAATTTTAAGTGTTTTTAGCTCCAGATTATTCCAGCTGCAGCACATGGTCAGTTGTTCAATCTCCCGTCTGTATGTAAATTCATCACTGTCTCAAATGAGACCATTCACTGTTGTATCATCTGCAAACTTCAATACTTTAACTGAGGGATCCTTTGAGCTGCATAGAGGGAAAAGAATAAAGGAGAGAGCACACAGGCCTGGGGGTGCCTGTGCTAATTGTATGGGTATTTGACGTAATTTTACCTAATTTCACCTGCTGCTTTCTATCTGTCAGAAAGCTTATAGATATAGATAAGGTATAGACATCAGGTTGAAAAAAGAAATATATATTTTCAAATGCAAGGGCAGTCAGCTGGTTTATATGCAAGTGAAGAAACTTGGAAAGATATAGCCAAATAATATCAGCATGGAATAATGCTTTCTACCAGGGAATTTCTTCAGAATGGGATACATAAATGCCAACTAGGATTATTTGTAGACAGCCATGAAGAAGACTATGGCTGAAGAATTCTACTGACCCCTACTCCCTCCCCGAGGACATATGTGTTAATGTGGGAGAGTAATTTTGTACTACCCCAATATAACAGCAAGAATCTGGGCCAAGCAAAATGGAGAACTTTCAGGATCAAGAAGAGCTGTAGGAAGCTGTCACTTACTCACTTGGAAAGACTCCCTTGGGTTGCGAAACTGGGAACCACATTTTGGTTTGAAGGTTACTGTCCCAAATACACTGCTTAAGGATAACATCCAGTATTTGGGAAGCTTAGTCTTTCAGTCTTTGAAAGAACAAATCTTTCCTTAAGAGTCTTAAGGAGTAAAGCTTGCCAATATTTTTTTTTAACCAAGTTGATTTGAAGTGCTCTCCAAGAATCAGAGGGAGCAGACCCATGGGAAAGAAATTAACATTAGCCAAAAAAATATATGATAATGTCAAAGTCTAGCATTCACTGAGACCATGCCCCTGTTTAACTCCTTACTCCCACCAAGTACTTTTGCTGCCAGAGGCTCTTGTACAGGAAAGACGGGGCCGCACCAAGAGGTGGATGCTTCCACTTTCCCATCTGCGCAAAGGGCACTGGCTCCCCCCTCCCCTGCCACAGCCCCAGCACGGGCGCGGGAGCTGACTTTAAAACGGACTCCATCCACGTCACCTCAGGCAGCCAGAGCAGGGCTTGGCAGAGATGCCTCTGGCAGGACCGCAGAAGAGTGAGCCACCCAGCCTGCTGCTGGCGTGCCAACCTTTGACCAACACTTTGCTCTGGGCATAAGCGGGCACAGCGGCAACCCAGCCCAGCTCACATGTCCTGCTCCTCTCGGGGACCGCAAGCTCACTTGCCCCACTCAGCCTGGCTTCCAGCGCTACCGCCAGCCGCTCTTACCTTACACAGCAGCGGCGCCTCCTGTACTTTCAGCCCAGCAGTCCCCAAGCCAGGGCTGCATGCTTTTGCCCCTGCACCCTGCAGAGCCAGAATCCACCGCCTGCCACGCAAACCCCAATGAGTAGACTCGCCTGCGCTCGGGGGAAGAGAAGCTGTGCTCTGCCAGCTCCTTTTCCCCCAAGCACGGGCGAGGCTGCTCATTGGGTTCGCGCGGCAGGTAGCAGATTCCAGCTTTGCTGGGGCCCGGGTCGACAGCGAGCAGCCCCCACTTGGGCTGAGCTTTTGGCCTTCCGAGCGCCTGCAGGCACCATTGTGTATACTTCGGTGGCGGCTCTGTAAGCAGAGAGTCTGTATCCTGTGCATCTCTGGGAGCACCTGAAGCTTGACGGGGCTGCCTGGGCCCTTGGTGGTCCCATGCCCTGTTGCGAGCTTGGAGTCCATGGGTTGGAAAACAACCCCCGGACTTCCGAAGGGAACTTGTCGAGGGAAGAGATCGGGGCAGATTGGTCGTGGCCACCACACCTGAATGGCGCAACTACATTCTTTTGGAAAGGTCTGGCTGAGAGACTTGGGAAAATCCCAGGAGGTTAGGGAGGATAGAAAAAAAATGGTGCGTGAGACCAGTCAGCTGGTGTTTGCAATGGGGGAAGAGGAGCTGGCGGAGCACCAGCTGCGGCAGGAGTGAGTGTCAGAAAGGCAGCCTGCTTGCCTTTGTCTCTCGTGCAGTGGCAGGAAGCCGGGCATTGCCGGGGCCGGGGGCTCTAAGCGACCCAGCAGTCAGCAGGGCAGATTAAGGAAGCAGCCTCCTGAGTAACGGTTCCAAGTGCTGCAGCTAGATCTGAGCTCGAGAATGTCTACATGGCATGCCGAATTTGGCACTTAATGGAGCTCTGCAGATTTGCCAATGCACTGGACCAAGAACTACATGCACAGGCTGAGCTGGCACGATGCACAGGATGGAAAGTGGTTGGCTGCGTGGGTATCGTGGGAACACGGCCATTCACTGATAAGAGTGTAAATACACATGCACACAAACTACCACCAGGCTGCACATGGGAGGAAAATTAAGACATCCTCGAAAAGACGGCCTAGCCGTTTTTTCGGGGCTCAAAAAAAAAAAAAAAGACCCGGCTTTATTTTATGAGAAACACGGTACATTTACATTGAGCCAATTGATGGTGAACCATCTAAAGAACCATAATTAACTTAAATTGCAATGTTATATCATTGCAATTTTGTTTTAACAATAACTGTTTTAACAATAACTAAACTTATTTGTTAATTCCACTGCTAGATGTTCATTTATAGAAAAAGAACACACAAAACTTCTGTGTTTAAGGCAGAACCTCACTCTGTAGCGAACAACTATTCTATATCGAATTCAGCCCTTTGATCCAATTCACTTCACATTTTGAATCTTACCAATCCACATCTCTTTCCCATTGAACATAATTTGTACAACAAGACTGCCAGGACAGGTTAACACATTTTAAATTGTCACCCTTTGATATTTTGAACATTCTGGAAATCATGAAAAATTCTAGTAACAATGTAAAAGTTATAAAATCTATACAGACATATTTTTTATTCTGCTATAAATTTATGTTTTCGAGATTTTTTTTCCCAAAGTTTGCCCTATCTTTTCCTTTTTTATCTTTCTATATAATTCCTTCTGTCAGTGGGGCATTATCTTTCACTCCTGATGTTTCTCTTCTATTTATAGTTATCTCAACGATTTGGACCGCATAGCAGGCCCTGGATATCTACCCACACAACAAGATGTTCTTAGAGTTCGAGTTCCAACTACAGGAATCATTGAATATCCATTTGACTTACAAAGTGTTATTTTCAGGTAGCTAAAAGGTTTTTTTTTGAATCTTGAAAGTGCTACTTCGGAGGAGTTTGTTTTGGGGGAGAGGGGTTTCCTGCCAGAAGCATAAAAATACATTTAAGCAATTGCACCAATAGAAAATGCTATTTTGGAAATGTATTCTTTTCTCCCATTCCCTTTCTTCTTTTGGCTTAGTAGTAGCAATTTAGGCAAAACAGTTCAATCTCTTAAATGTTCATTGTTTAAATTAATATTTTACACTGATCAAAAATGGAGAATGCAGAGTATTGTGTTAAGTCATAAACAACATGCTTTTTTAAGTAAGGTATGAATATAGTTTATAAATTGCAGACAAATGGTATTTTATATATTTATAGATCGAATCTACCAATTCTTATAAATATCCTAACTATTAATTCTGCTTCATCTTGTGAAAGAACATAAACTGGAAAAATAATATAGATGTCTTTATAAGAATTCCCCTATTTTATTATTCTGTCATTATACATAAAAGACTATTACTCTTACAGTTACTCTGGAAAAGATTGGACTCTTAACCATATTGAACAAAAAAACCTTCCTGTTTCAATTGTAATAATTACACTCATTTTTAAAGGTGTGTTTAACTTATATAATGGTAGCGGCTTTATCAACTTCTGCTCATTTGTAGATTTGTTGAAATACAAAGTTTGATAAATGGTGCCTATTCTATACAAATGTATATTCTAAAGAACCTCTTATGAACTTTGTATTTTGAGTTTCATTAACTGTAGTCCTGAAGCAAAATAAAAGAGGGTCATTTTGTTATTAAAGATGTTATTTGGCTTTATTAGTCTATGTGACCCTTAAATTTGGAAATAATTTGGAAGAGCAAAGCACCTATCAGGGAATCATATAAGGAAAACAAAAATTTCTACCTGCCTAGAGCCATAAGTGCAAAGTCTCTGGGGATAAGGAATGTTATGAAATCAACAATCTAGGAGGAAAAACATTAAATGGGTTTGAGAAATAGCTTATCTATATTTACTCCAAGTTACAGTGTATAAATGCCTCACAATGGTAGGCTTGTGGTTAAATATTTGATGGTAAAATTCAGGAACACTGGTGATATCCCTTTGATTATCAGTGTCCCTAATTTGTTCCGTTACCATTGATTTAGCCACTACAAGACTTAATTGGCTTATATTTTCAAGAGAAAGGCTGATATTATGTTATCACTTCATGCAAATTTGACATCAGTATGATTAGTAGCAGTCTGTCAATAGTATCTATACTTCTATGCAATAAATTTGTTCTGGAATAGTGGTGCTGAATCCTGTTCAGGAATATTAAGTTGCTGCTGGGTTGGTTTCTACACCATTACTTATCTCATTTATCTGGATGTCCCTTCAAAGCAGAATAGCAATAGCACTTTGACTTATATATAACTCCATAGTATTTTACAGCACTCTCTAAATGTTTATAATGTCAGCATACTGCCCCCAACAACCTGGGTCCTCATTTTACTGATCTTGGAAGAATGGAAGGCTGAATCAACCTTGAGCTGGTCAGAATTGAACTCCTGGCAGTAGGCAGAGTTAGCCTGCAATACTGCATTCTAATCACTGCGCCACCAGAATGTATGCTTGCTGTCAGTGTAAACATTTGCAGAATGCTGAAGTGTAGATGTATTCATTCTATTGTCATGATCTTTGAGATGTAGCATATAAATAATATAATAATGAAAACATGTCCCAACATTTTAGTATTTGTACATTGTTTTGATTTCTATTAATTTTGCTCCTATTCCAGAATGGTGGATGTGGGGGGACAGCGATCGGAACGAAGAAAATGGATACACTGTTTTGAAAATGTCACCTCCATTATGTTTCTAGTAGCTCTTAGCGAATATGATCAAGTACTTGTGGAGTCAGACAATGAGGTAGGCCATCATCAAATGCCCTTGAAAAGTATGCTTCTAATTAAGGCAATAATTGCTTTCCCAAAAATCCTTCATATAATTTTGTGATATTCTATGACCAGGAAATATGTTTTCTGTGATTTCATCCTGGTTTTGAGATATTGTGCTCAGAAACATTGATCCTAATGGTGACGCTTGAATCTTTTTGGACATTAACTGATATTTCTATTCTCTAAAACTGGAAATTCTGCTTCTCCAAAATTACTTTTTCATTTCTAACTCATACAGCTTATTTAGAATAGAATAGAATAGAATAGAATAGAATAGAATAGAATAGAATAGAATAGAATAGAATAGAATAGAATGTCTTTGGTGCATATGCTCTCAGTGTACATAAGAAAAAATAAAATAGTCATAGGTTACTAATAAGCATCAAATCATACTAGGAAACAAATAAAACAATATAAATTATAAAGATATCAGCAACACTTCTCACTTCTCTCATAAGTGAGAAGAGATAGGTAATAGGAAGGACGAGAAGAATAATAGTAATCCAGTTTTACTAAGTAGTTTGACAGTGTTGTGGGAATTAGTTGTTTAGCAGAGTGATGGCAGTGTAAAGGATAGATACAAATCAATGTTAATTGATGTTTTTATCCCCAAGTAACTAATAAATTATAAACAAAATTATGTTAACATTATTTTAACTAGTTAAGCTCTAAGCAGAATAATGCCAAATTAATAGATGTCTATTATATGATATATACTTAGGATCACTTCATAAAGGCCTGTTCATTCTTAGGTCTACAGATTTAACAGATAATCATAGCTGGAAGGGACCTTGTAGGTCATCTAACCCCCCACCCAAGTGGGAGACCCTACACCATTTCTGACAAATGGCAGTCCCAATCTCTTCTTGAAAGTCTCCAGTGATGAAGCTCCAACAACTTCCGAGGGCAAGCTGTTCCATTGGTTAATCGTTCTCACTGTCAGAAAGTTTCTCCTTATTTCTAGATTAAATCTCTCCTTGTTCAGTTTCCATCCATTGTTCCTTGTCTGGCCTTTTCTCAATTAGCATAATACTTTTCTGCCAGCTCCTACATGGAATAAAGGCCCTTCAGTGCTGATGTGTGGAAGAACCAACAGTCCACAAACTATTTTGCCATGTGATCTGCCCTTTGCTTTGGCAAGTGCTAATTGAAAAGGTCAAATGCAGGGGTCCTCAAAATTGGCAACTTTAAGACTTGTGGACTTTAATTCCCAGAATTCTCCAGCCAGCTGGCTGGAGAATTCTGGGAATTAAAGTCCACAAGTCTTAAAATTGCCAAGTTTAGAGACCTCTGGTCAAAGGTTTCATATTATATTCTTTATTTTCTTCACAGCTTGGAGAAATATGCCTGTACTTCAAGCCTGAATAATTATGTAGACTTTGTTGTTAATACCCTTAAAAGTAAACAGAAACACGCATAAAATTCCAAGTTGGAAGTTTGTTAACTTTCCTTGCTAGGCAGATTAAAGATGGCTTATATGTTCAAATTCAGTAATTTAAAAGAAGACAAACTTCTATTTATGAAAATGTTTTTCAGAACCAGGGAATGAAAGCATTTGGACACCTAATCCAGGCATAATATGAAGGCAGTGAAAATTCTGGATTTAGTTTGGAAGAAGTGCTTCTAAATAGGCTTTAATCTGAATGTATACCTATCATTAAAGCATAATTTTATTCTCCAGGATTACATAGTTTCTGCAGGGAGGCTGTCACTATAACTGCAAGATCCTGCAAGCAATAACAATTGCTTTAAGAAGTCCCTGTGTTGATAGTCTTGCCTATTTCAAAGCACTTCTTCTGTATCAGATCTGGAGCACTTTGGAGCCCTAGTATTTACATTTCTCATCAGTTCTTTCTTTTCTCCACTCTGAAATTTTGCTATTGATGCAACTTATCCCAAAATGTCATTTACAATGGAAATATATTGGAGTGAGATATTTATAAAAGTAAAATCGGAAACCACTTTGGTCTGGTGGTTAAGACACCAGGGACTGTGAATTCTAGTCCTTCTTAGGTTTGAAATCTGTATGGGTGACTTTGGGCCATTCTCTTTTAGATTAGAGTGACAAGCTGGTCATAATTCCTGTCACAATTAGTGGATCAACAACACTCAATTAATCTGAAAAAAAAAAAAAGCATACCCTGCATTTGCAAGAAAAAAAGGAACTAAAAAAAAGGAAACTACAGCTCTGGAAGAGTTAAAAAGTGCAATGATATTACTTAGAAAAGAATTTTTGTATTGCAAATTATGAATTAAAACATTAATTCTTTGTGCAATCCTCTTTTGTTTAAATTAGAGCAATTGTTTTATGCTTGGTTTTATGCTTGAGTAGAACACAATCCGTTGGGAACATTCTATTTTTATAATGTCAGAGGTCACTTTTGTGTTAATAACTTTAACAGAATATCTCAAGCTATTCTGAAAGAAAACTCCTCATCCCTTAGCATCATTAAGATGACCCTATGATACAACGTAATCCTGCTTTGCATTTTTATGTGTTTATCCCTTTAATTGATACATAATTAAACAACGCTCTGTTGTTACTGCTTTGATTGTTCTTTTGGTTATGTTTTAAGAAGATGAACAACTAGCAACAGTTTTCCTTATTGCTTTCTGATTTCTGTAGCATTTTTGACCTGTGAGTAATAGTTTTTTTAATGACACAGGAAGCATATTTAATTGACATTACTTGGAACTGCTATTCTAGATTAATTGGATCTTCATAGAAAATTTTAAGATTCTTTTATATTGGGAATGGTGAATTGCCTCTTTAGATTTGGGAGAACATAGACATCGGAGAAAGGATGTGAGCGATACTGACTGGCAGTTCAACTTCTAATCAGCCACATACTCTTCTTCCCACTCTCCCTTTTCTTACCTGCCATGATCAAATAGAAATCTTCTATTACCTGGAAACAGCTCAGTGTTCAGTGATGGGAACATGCTTTGCCCGCATAAAATCCTAATTAAATAGACTATTAAGATAATGGTGGCAATAAAAATATGTACTTCCAATAGAAGAGAATGTATCTAGCTCCTGGTTGAATTGTGGAGTTCTCGTTGTTTTCTGAGCATGGTTATTGCTTCTAGGCTTTTCATTATCCAACTAGCTAACATCATCCGTCCAAGTGAATGTGGGATTTGCTGCCCATATTTTTTGTATATAATAGCTTGCCCTGTTAGTTTTGACATCCAAAACTCCAAAGATACGTGCATCGTTGCTTGGAAATAACTGCATCTCAAATTAAGTAATACCAATTTTCCATATCTGTGTCTATCTGCATTATATTTAGTAAGGATTATAGAATAATTTATTGCGATAAACTGTAAACTTCAAACTCTTTAATAAAGTACATCAGGAAATGTGTGACTCTTTGGGGACTTTCTTATCTACTTTACTTTCTAGCTCAGAAAGTTGTTATATTGTAGTCATTAAGTGAATATACAGTATACAAATCCCTATTCTCGTTAAGTGAATATATACTCCCAAGTTTTTTCTTTATCTAATGTAAATATTTTAAATAAACATTTAGTCTCCATATGGGACTAGGATGCATTCCTGTAGTTTTGGGGAAAGATATATTCTTCATAGCTTTATTCAAAATAGAAAAATATATTTAAAAAGAAATTATAGTATTTTGCATTGGATGACTTTAAATTGACCATACCAAGAAATATTCTGATCTGCAAAAGAAAGATGAGTGAGATTTCACATATGCTTAATTTTAATGTGCACATCAGCATGAAAAATATTGGCAAATAAGTAAGTTTATATTTCCTTATTCAGAGGTGACCTGCATTTAGGAATTCTATTAAATTCAAGTTCCTGCTCAAGGAATAGCTTGTTATGCTTGTATGCAATTGAGGTTTCCTGGAATAATTTATATGTTTAGATTCTTAGCTGCCTAAAATCTGTGAGAATGGGAACTACAGACTTTGGGGTAACTTTCACTAGGATCAATAACTATAGCAGAAAGGAATTTTTTTCTTTATTCTTATTTTTCTTTTTTCCCCTTTCTATTCTTCATTTTTCCCTTTGTAACTTTTACTTGTTCTATTTTCCTATCTCTTTGTAGTTTGCATTCATTTTTATTATAATAATTATAATCTTTAATAAGATTACTTGAAAAAACCTCTCCTATGTGTGCAGCCACACATCATTCTGTTCCATCCTATCCATTTTCTGTATTATTTTTTCACTCAGTTTATAACAAAAGATATTTACAATAGATGCCACATTTACTGAATGTACAGTAATATTGATCTGCCCTGATTGATTATAGGCCATCAAGCCATTTTCAACTCCTGTTGACGACATGGATAGATTTTCTCTATGGCAATCTATCTCTAACCTGTTATTTCGAGGCTCCCAATAGTATAGCCATCGCCACTGAAATGGAATCTCTCCATCTTTCTGTTGGCCATTCTCTTCCCCTCTTCCATTTTCCCAGCGTTACAATGTTTTTCCAGAGAGCTGGCCTTAGCATAATCTGTCCAAAGTAGGATAATTTGAGCCTGGCCATTTGTGCCTTTAAAGGTTGATTTGTTTGACATCAGTTTGTTTTGTTGGCTGTCCAAGAATTTTCTCCAGCACAAAAGTCTCAAAACATCAACGTTTTTCCTATCCTGCTTCTTAAAGTTCATATTTTGCTTCCATAGAGAACACAGAATAGGCCATATACCATGGCTTGCATGATTCTGATCTTGGTAGATATAGACACATCGTGGTATTTGAATACATTTTTCAAGGCTTTCATGGCTGGTCTATCAAGAGCTGGTCTGCAGTGTATTTCTTGACCACTTGTTGCTTTACCAGTGATAGTAGATCCTAAAATGAAGACGCTAACCACCATTTTGATGTCTTCATTGTCTATTCTAAAGCTGGTGGTTCTGCCCGTTATCATTAGTGTGATTTCCTTTACATTTAACTTTACTCCCTTTTTTCACTGTGCTTTTTTACTTTTAGTACTAGAGCTTGCATTTTCAGCTCTCAGGGTAGAGTTATCAGCAATGTGCCTTGAAGAGTATTCCAAATAAAAAGGAACTGGAATAATTTGTGACCAACTCAATGAGGCAGTAACTGCCATATGGTAGATATCATCAGACATTTTGACATAAAGCTCCCAAACATAAAGATATGCACTTAAATCTTAGCCCCAAATATGAAGACAAATGTTCCAGAGAAATCCATAAAGCATTTCAACATACAGTCAAGATACCCATAAATCTTCCTAATATTTTTAGAGGATCAAAAATAAAATATAACAGTTTGCATATTGTGATCTTCTTTAAGAAGGAAAGAAAATTTTGGAAACAGGATTATTACACACTAGATCTACTTATTTTTTTGTGAACAATGCCAGTAAATAGGGTTTGAAAATTATTTAAATGTCTGAGATCCTATTTAAACCTCATTTCACTATTTTTAAAAAAAATCAATTAATCTGCTATGCATTATAATAATTGATAAAGGGCTAGGGTTATAATCAAAATGTTTATTGTTGTCATAAATTGGTAAAATTATGTTACAACTTTGAAGCCTCAAAATACATGTATGGAATTATAGCTGCTATTTTAATGTGCAGAATAAGAGTCAATAATGATTGATGGCACATAATCAGGCAATCGAACATACCATAATAAAGACAAAGAATGAGCATCTAATCCTGCCTACATTTGGTCATCAGCTTATTGATTAGTCAACTATACAAAAAGTCAGCTCACTTTGAACTATTCTTGGCCTTACTTTATTTGTTTACAATCACAGATCTGTTCACTAGCTGCCTGAGGACTGATTTTTACTAAAACATAACATTAGCCTTCCTAACACCAATCTTGCTATAAAAGCTTTTCCAGTGATCATAATAATAAATAGCTAATTTTCTATGACCTTCCCATTAACGGCATTATACATGTATGCTACCTAATTCTAAGTGTCATACTTTATCAAAATTGTTGGTTAATGAATCCCAAAATGCTTCTGCAGAGTTTTCTAGTCATTATCAAAAAAGTATTAGGATCACAAGGATTAAACTTGGCCTTGCCATTAAAGTAGTATTGCTTCAACTCTGGAAAAATCCTCCATACATGAACTGCTACAGTGTTCCAGAAGTTTTGGGTACTTGGTGTAGGCCTTACAACAGCAGGCCCCCACCTTTTGGGCACCAGAGACCAGTTCTGTGGAGAGAGGTTTTTCCACGGACCAGGGTGGGCATGGTTTCGTATGCTGCCTGCATCCCATGGATGGGGATTCACTTGTTTGCATGGTCCAGTTTCTATTATGCCATGGCCCGGTGCCAGTCCTTGGATCGGGGGTTGGAGACCCCTGCCTTAGAATACACTTAAACATATTTTGCTCAATCTGCCTAATGGAATTTCATTCCTGTTAAAAATTAAATAATTTGTAACCTACTTGAAATGGCTACTGAGGATACCTCAAGTCAGCTAAGGCAAACTAATGTGTATAGAAACTATCTGAAAAAATATACCATTAGTTTAAACTATCTTTTGAGAACTGGTTATCTCTGCAATTGTCGCACCTCCTTAGAATTAGTGTTCATATTTTTAACATAATGGCAGCCCATAAGAATGCCATACTTACATGGTTCAGCATAAAATAAAGTTTTACATTGTCTAACTCTAAGGAGAGCAAACAATTGATTTAGCTTTAAATGAAAAACATAAGGGTCGTAATTTACTGATAGGCAAGGATTAAATATCTTAATTTGGGGAAATCCACTGTATGATAAAGTATTTGAAACCAAGTGTTGATATTTGCAGATAAGCTGTCCATTATTCTTAAGTGCCATACCTACAGTTTTATTTTGTAAAGATGAAAATGTAGAAATGTGTAGAGAAGACACATTTAAAAATGTGAATTTGGAGTAGTTTGAAACCCAGGAATTTTAGATAACTCTTTTTAGGAGGTATGTGTGCAAGTATTTAGACCAGCATATGTTCACAAAAGATGCTGTGTCTGCAGAAATGAACAGGGCATAGCATCAAAGCAACTTCTATTCAAAATTTATGAAAGCAAAGAACTAAAGAACAGTCTTGTATACAAAGAATTGTTCTTCTGTTCTTGGTATTACTAATTAAATGGGTAATCCTGATCAAGAGAAAAAACAGCCTAATGACTAATAGATGATAGAAACGTTTAGGTGCATTATGAAATTACTGTGATGAACTACTGCCAACACATATTAAAAGGTCTATCTAGAAGCTAAGGAACCATACTAAGGTGCAAAAAATATATTTATGTGTGTTTGTGCACACATCTTTATTCTTTTAAAAATCATTTACTAATTTTGATTCTCCATTTATGCTGTTAGAGCCTTTTTGTGAAAAACAATACAACTGGAAATGCAACATTTTTGAAAAATGCAAATTTACCAATCGGATTAACTGATTAAATTATAGCCAAATTATATAATAAAACCTACAGCGGTCTAACTGCAATAATCCCTGACTGCAATGATACAGTGTTTAAAGATAAAACATTTCTTTGTTTACAAACTATTAGAATCAAAGTGGTGGACTTAGGGTTCAATCAAAAATAGAAGAGGACATCCTTTATGGGGTATTTAATATTTATTGGGATGATCTCTTCTTTTCTTATCCCACCACTTATTTACAAACAAATCCTTAAAATCTCATCATTTGAGATCTGGTGTCAATCCTGTTTTGTTTTGTTTTAATTTATACATCCCTTAATATGTCTTAAACATAGTCTGTCTATACAGGTAGACTGTAGAGGAATGAATGGCAAACACTGGGGGAAAAGTTAAAAGAAGGATCAGCTTAGAATCTATATAGCCATAAGTAGACTAAGTCAAAGCACCTTGAATTCCATTGACCCTTACCTAACTCCTACCAGGTACTAACCATTAGGCATGAGTAGTAATAAATCCATTTAATTGGACCTTCATGCATAGACTTTATCTTTCACACCCAACATAGACAGTCTTAAAATTAACGTTTGGGCCAGTTGTTCAAAAATATCTTTCAATCCTTCATTCTGCATTAGTACTTTAAGTCATGTTTAAGTGTTCTGCTCCTTTAAATGTAATATTTAGTTCCTTCTGGTTCCCCCTAGTGTCCACGTTCAAAGTCTCATCCTATGTTGTTTTTTTTTAAGAGAATTCAAAACAAAAGCATTTTTTTGTGGGAAGGATTCTAATTCTAAAATCTTACTTTAAAATTATTTTGCTAGGTTTGAAGGAAACCTTCCCAATGCTGTAGAAGTCAAACCAAAGGTTTCCAATAGCTGAAAAGCAGTTAAAAAACCATTTCCAAAAATGATTATAAGGGCAATAATAACCATTTCCAAAAGTGAGTTAAAAAGAAAGTATATTTGTCCAGTGTTCTTTCAAAGATCCTGACTGTGCTTTGAGTAAGGTGACTGTTCCCAGGTCTCCCAGAACTCTAAACCCATATCAGACTGTTATCTTGCGACCTTTTGTGAGAAGCAACTATATGGAGCATTTGTGGGTTATTCCAGGTCCTTGCCTTGTTTGAAGAAGACATATGAAGGGTAGGTCTTAACTGGGTCTTCATTTTATTGAAGTCATCAATTTTTGATGGAGCTATGTTCAGTTCACCATTTCTTCCTGGAAGTTTCATCTTGGGGAAAATATCCTGTAGTAAACTGATTTTAAAATCACTTTAGCCTATGAGTAATGCTAAACAATAAACCAAAGGGGAAAACCATGTGCTAGAGCGGAATATGAGAAATAATGCAAACCTCCAGTTATTTTCTAATTGATTAGATAAATTGAGCCTTGGAACTTAAACAGAACTCCAGATTCATCCATTTGTATATTTGTATTTATACATATGCCTGTATCTATTAATTATATGATTTGTGCATCTGTTGTGCCTTTGAAACAATCACTATAGGTATGTTAATGTTTCTTGTCTTTTTTTGCCTTTCCAGAATCGAATGGAGGAAAGCAAAGCACTATTTAGGACAATTATCACATATCCCTGGTTCCAGAATTCTTCAGTCATTCTATTCTTAAATAAGAAAGACCTTTTAGAGGAGAAAATAATGTATTCACATCTAGTTGACTATTTCCCGGAGTATGATGGTAGGTTTGTGGGGTTTTTTCGTAAGACATTATGTGCAAATAGAATACAACAATAAGACAACATTATACAGTTGATAGGTGAGAACAAGCTTCTGTAGTTCTGTAATATTGTGGCCACCATTCCCAAACTTCTAATTAAATGGTGCATTATTAACTAAATGTTCAGATTGTCGGTTGTTATTTGTTAACCAGAAAAACAGCCCTTGGACATACCATGGATTGTGTCTTCAGTTCATCTGAATAAGATTTGAAGTGGAGGAAATTCTATCCATATGACTGGAGCATGTTTTGTTTATTAAATTATCTGGTTGTGCATATGTACATAATTGGAGTGTCATTCTTCCTAATCTCATGGGATTAACAGAATAGGATAAACCCAATTTGCATGTAATGCAGGGAGACTTGCATGTCTTATTAAAAGGATGTGGTTTGTTAAATTGATAATTCTACTTTCTATGCCTTGTCCCCCTACTTATTGGGAAGTGGAGAGAGATACAGTAAACCTACTGAAAAATGTTCCAATAATTGAAGCAAAGAGAAGAGTTATTTTTCCCCTCCACCCTTGAAAGCTGACGTGTTTCTTTCCCAAGGGCTACATTGCCTGGTGTACTCATCCATCTCCCAGTGATAAGTCACTCTAATCTTGTTTTAAAATGAGGCCCCTATCTTCTTTCTCAATCATTTCTCCGCCTATACTTTTTCTATTTGTTTAAAGTATAGTAGTACATTAACTCTCATTGTAATGTACTGTGAAATTCTTGTCTTTGGCTTGTTTTTAACCATCTTTAGTTTAAAAGGTTAAATGTCAATTCTCCAAGTTACCATGATTGTTGATTAAGATGTTGGGATGTATCCTTTTCCAGTCCACAAGTTGTCTTCCACCCTTCAATATTCAGTCCTCATTTCTTGCTTAGATATAGCCACAGTGTGATAATAGCCATTTACAGGTAAGTCCTTGAACACACTGAGGCCAAAAATTCTGTGCTAAGCAAGACAGTTAAGTGAGATTTGCCTCATTTTATAACCATTCCTGCCACAATTGTTAAGTGAATCATTGCAGTTGTTAAGTGAGTCTGGCTTCCCCATTGACTTTGCTTGTCAGAATGTTGCAAAAGGTCATCACATGAACCCCCCCTTCCCGGGGTCAATGCAACTCTCTTAAATACATGTCCCAAAACCAATAGTTGTGAGTCAAGGGCTATCTGTACTTTCCTAAAGATAAAATTCAATCTACTTCTTTTCCGGTGTAACAGGACCTCAGCGAGATGCACAGGCAGCAAGAGAATTTATCTTGAAGATGTTTGTTGACCTGAATCCTGAGAGTGAAAAAATCATCTACTCCCATTTCACGTGTGCCACAGACACAGAGAACATCCGCTTCGTCTTTGCTGCTGTCAAGGACACTATCTTACAGTTAAACCTAAAGGAGTACAACTTGGTCTAACTGTGCCTCTTAGATCTCTATCCACCCACTTTGGGGCAATTGAAGATATTCAAGAGGGACTGTATTATTTGTGAAAATGATCTGCGTAATACTAATTTATTGCTGGCCTGGACTCTGTTAATATTTGCAGAGTTTGTAGTTAAATATTACAATTTTATTTAAACTTTACAGAGGAAAAGAAACAAAAGATGCTGAACTACATTCACAGCTCATTTCCTCTTTTTTTAAGTCAAAATTTTGTGACTTAATGTGTTCTAAATTCTCAGTTGTGCACTCACAAAATGATAGGGGTTTGGGTTGATTTTTTTTTGTTGTTGTTGTGACTGAAGCAAAATCAAGTTGGGCTCTCCCTCCTCTTGTCTCTGCCTGTGTCTGTCTTGATTTATTTTTTTTCAGGTACAATACCTATCCCCACAAATTTGATTTTCAGGTGTCCTTCTTAGATTGGTGGGGGGAGAAAACCTGTCACTAGAATTGAAGCCATCAGAAAAGCTACTTTCATGAGGGATCAGATCTGTTGATGTTCTGATTTTATTTAATTTTTGGCAGATGTAAAGTATTCCTACCTTTCCATATCAACTTTACACTGAAGGAATGTTGTTCATTGGGAATATTAATAGCAGTGTTATAGATTTTTATCCATAACAGTACCATAGAAAAATCAACAAACTACTTAGAAACATAGCAACAAATTACCGAGAAAGGACATTTTTGAAGCAGATTAGCTGTTTAATCTGAACTTGCATTTACTCTCTTCCAAAACCAATTTTTCAGGGGGAAACCTCCCCCCTCTTTTTTTTTTTTTTTTGCTTCTTAATCACAGATGCTAAATATATACCATGGAGATATTATACCCTGGAACTTCTGCTTTGACTAATTTTTAAATCAAGCTATCTAGTTTTCTCATCCCAATTTCAGATTTTAAAAAAATTGTGCAGAAACTATTGGCCAGATTTGGCTCTTTTCTTCTTATAAACACAGTGACTACAAAATATAAGATGATGATCTAAGATGCCAAATTAACTGATTGGGAATCTCTTCCAGACAACTGCCAAATATTAAAACAACGAGATTTTAGCTTTTTTGTTTCCTCTTTGTACTAAAAAGCATTCCATTTCTCAATGCCAAGCTTCCCCCATAACATTATGATTAGAAAAAATGGTGCTACATACATATGCATATGGCCTAATGAAAAAACAGGTTTAACACTGTATCTAAAGTGCTATAAGATTGGACACTGTTCTTATTTTCCTTCTTTACTAAGACACTTTTAATGGAAAAAAACAAAATAGCTAAAAGAGAGGGCGGGGGGAGAATGAATGTACATATAAAGTTGTATTTGTGTGTGAAATTACAAAATGGAAGGTTAAACCTATATATAATTGTTTGAGAACAAGTCCAGTGGATTCAGAAGAATGGTTTCTGAGTAAATATATCAGTTTTAATATAAGAATGGGAGGGAAAAACTAGGCCTGTTTTGATAGACATTCTTACTCTGCCTCTCTCCTCTTCTCTCTCTTGCTCTTTATTTTGGGCTGAAATAAGATTTTTAAAGTTTTGTGTAAAACAACTCTGTAAATAAAAATTGTCAGTTTGGAAAATTGTAAACGGGGTAGAAAAGTCAGATACGAAATTCAACTAATTTTTCTAAAAGGTAATATTTGCAGTTCTAGGTTTAAAATAAATTATCTGCATTATACTTTGGGGCAACAGAGGAGACAGTGAATGCGATAAATTACGACTAAACCTCAAGTGTAGGAGCAATCTGCCAAGCTTTAGTGTTACTGGCACAAGGGCCAGATTCCCAGTATAACATTTTTAAAATAATGCTTCATGGATGATCTACAACATATTACTAATAAGATTTCATTGATCCTTAATTCTTTCTATTAGAATTGATGAAAACTTGGATTGCTTTTGCTCCCTAATCATGAAATCTTGTAATTTTAAAATAGTAGGCCTAGTGCAATTATGAATGCTATAGTCATTGTGAGATATGTGTACATATATGTATATGTATCTCACAGCATCCATACTGGCTTTGTAATCATTTTGGGCAGATTAAATGTGCTGTATTGATATGTATCTATGTAACTGTAATGTATGTCTTACAGATAATTCACAATTTAAATAATGTTATTTTATTTACTTTTTTAACAGAGAAGAATGTACATTTTGTCAGTTTATTTCTGACTAGGATTTTTTTTTAATTTTTATCTACAAACAGTTGTTATAGTTCAGAGTGGTACTAGCATCATGCAGTATAGAATAATTTGCACTGCGGAATGGACACTCACATGCACATGCAAACACCCAGAGGAATTTAAGCTCTCTCTTGTCAGATTACATTGTTCTTTGGCAAATGAAAAGAAAGGTTTGCGTCTCCAGTCTTTTCATGGTAAAAATGGGGTTTTTTGTTTGTTTATTTTTTTACCACAGTGAAGGTTCTCTGTGGCCACTTAATATTGAAGGCATTGATCAGCTATCAAAAGCCATTGAGCTGGCAACTCTGCAATTAGTTAAGCTTGTCTGCTTTCATAAGGCGATGGGAGCATATGTTGAAGCTATTGACAAGAAAGGATAATAGGAACAAGGTGCAAGAATATGATCATGAAAAATTGCTCTGGGTTGGAAGCTTTTTTAAATATAGGGTGCACATTTCAACATGTATTCCATTTGAGAATTTTTTTTATTTGTATTTCCAACACCCAATGGGAATTTTAAACATACAATTGCTTCATGCTACCAGAGAGTTCATAGAAATTCATTTTTGCAACAACTACCATCTGTTACCCCAAAAAACCAATGGCTCAGCTGTCGCTTCCTTGCTTAAGTCATATTTCAAATTTCAGTTCAAACTAACATTTGAAAAAAAATATGTAAATTTTCTTTAAATGTGACAATGTTGCAGCTGATACCTTTATAAATATTTTTTGTTGGAATGTCAAAATTAACTAAAATTGGCACTGTAGGAGAAAAAAGACACATAAATATTTTCTTATGGGATTAGGGATTCTTTTTCCTGATGTTGATGCGATATGAAGGATATCATACAAAGGAATTATTATTTATTGCACCTTCTTGTTTCCATTGAGCTTTTAAGAATGAAACTTTATATATATAATTAGCAATTTTACAGGATTCTTGTAATAGTTAGGAAGACTGCTGATGGACCTGAATCTCTGTGTAGCATTTGAAATGGCAAACACTTCACTCAGTTTACAAAGCTTTCCTCCCTGTTCTGAATGGAGACAAGGAAGAAGTGATGGCAAGCAGATAACAAAATGACCAGAAAGTAGCTAGTAGCCTTGACTCATCTTTTTCATCACAATTGACCTTGTAAAAGTGACTTCGTATCTGATGCTCAGGATCTCAAAGCCAGTTCACCAGATCTTCAATGACGATGGCACGTGAAAGTAGTGTATACTTTGAAAAGAATTCAGAAAAAGTGCTTTGAGCCTCTTGTAAGATGGAGTCCAAAAGCTGCCATTTTTCAGGCTTCTTTGTGGGCCTGCAAAAAAAAAAAAAATCATGACGGTCGGAAGAAATCCATGCATTAAAGTTAATGAGACACTTAAAGCAGGTGAAATTTTTCTTCAACTTCACTTGAGCATGAAGGAGCAGAAAGGTGCTTGGCTTGTGATCGTGTGAGGTTAGAAAAGGCCAGAGCCCAGGCCTGTGAAATGTTTTTGTCTTGAATGGAAGTGGTAACAGTCCCATACCTGGTGTATGACAACATTTCTTCTCTTTAAAAGGGAATAAACAAACCTTTCCACTTTAAGTGGAATTTTTTTCTACTTTTTTTAAAAAATGGGTTGAAGGAAGGAAAGGACAAGAGGTTAAATATGCTGTGGGATGTGGAATTGTTCTTTATTATGGATCATTGGAAGAATTTTGGAAGCGTCAGAAGAGGGAAGAATCAAAAACTATAAAGAAACAACCTCAACGGAGACCATCATCTTGATCTCCTATAGACTTCTGTATTTTTCGGTATAATTTCCATAATAAAGAATTTAAACATGACATATGATTTCCTTAGCTATAGTATAGGTAAATTACATTTTTTTGGTGGGAATTTGAAGGAAAACTTTGACTGCCAAGATAACTTTGAATTGTCATCACTACGTTGCTTTATGCCAGAGATCAAAATGCAACACAGATTTTTAAAGTGGTAGTCCTCATCCCATATAGGATTGATTATCTGAAGATTAGGGTGAGGATAGTTACGGGTTTGGTTTTTGTATATGCCTTAACAGATTTTGAGCCCAGATAATAGTGCCTCCTCAGTTATCCAAAGTAAACTTAAGAAAATTTGTAACTTTGCCAAAACAATGTAACACTGCAAATTAGTTTCTTGGAAAGCTGTGTCTTAATTATGATTAGGATCCCAGTCTGACTGAAATTTGTTCTCAGTCTATTTTATATTTAATGGAAGTTGTGCAACAGTATTTCCCATTCATTTCTATGGGGCTTGTCTAAGAAAGCTGATGGATCATATCCATACATAGAAATGATTTTGCCAGAGGAGATATTTATGGCTTCTCTTTTTCTAAACCTTGAAATCTGCTATCCTCACTCCAGACATACAGTCCAGATATACAAAAGATGAATAAATGGACACGAAGCGTTTCGTTTTTTATTCAAAAGCATTTTCATTGTGAATATTATCTGAACCAGTTTCATTTTAATTGTACCATGGCAGGATTTTTGTTTTTCTGATTTCCAGGTTTTAAAGGGAACAGACTTTTTATGTGATGTATCAGTCAAGAATGACTGCATGATTTCCCCCCCCCCCCCCCCCCCCAAAAAAAATGATAGGGGGAAATGTCTGCATATTAAAGAGACAGCTCAGCTTTCACAGCTTTTGGTTGTGAGTGTCAAATTTCTTTTGACGTACAGGTTGACTTCTCCCGTTTGTTTTGGAGTTATCGCAAAACACAGATTAAATGATTAAAAGAGTTTTAATAAGTGTTAAAACATACAACAAAAATAAAGTGTACACCAGGTATAAAGATGTGCTCCTCTTCTTGAAACTATTGTATTTCAAACCAAGATCTTTACTGAGGAAGGATGCTTTCATGCCTGCAGCCACAGTACCTTCATTTCAAAAGTGGTGAGCACAGCCAGATCCACATTCAGGGATGTCTGCAGGTGGGGTCAAAAAAATTAAGATTACGCCACAACCATATGATTGCATCCCACTGCTTTTTTATGTGGAAAAGCTGTGACTGCTATGATTACATTTTTACCTTTTCCTAAGACCCTATTTTAGTGGAATTGCAATTGTATAATTAAGATGGCTTTGGAGTTCCCTCATATTGTTGACCTTAAATTCTGGCACATATTGCAGATGGCTGATTCCTATTATTTAGGCAGATTCCTGGCTTTTGTAAATAGCTTTTTAGCCCACATACCTCATATACATACATTATAGTTGATATTAAATGTATATTTTTGTTCTATAGCCTTATTCTAATTTGAACATTCAGTTGCACATCTTAGCACCTAATCTGGAGTTTTGTGTTTGCTCTCTGGGCCTTTTAGGTGAATGAGACATTATTCACTTAAAGATACAGTGTTAATAAATATATCTGCTTTGATCTCTATTGAATTGAATTGTCCAGGAATAATTCACAATAACTCGTTTACACATTGCAAGGCATGCTTCATCAGCAGTACATTTCCATTTTATTCTAGTATATGGGAATTCATTTTAACTGTGATTAAATGGCATTTAAAACATTGATAATCCCAGTAATTCTTATTATACCTATATTCTTGCAAATGGGTCACTTTTCTTGTATTTCCTTCAAAGTAAACCTTGAATGCAATTACTATAATTTTGTAGACAATACTCATGTTTGAACAGGTTCTCTGGAAATGAAATGGGAGCTAGTAAGTTTAAATAGAAAGATTAAAACAAGATTTTAAAAGTGCCAGGTAGCAGAAGGATTCAGCCATGTGTCCTTCCTTCAACATACTTGTAAAATTCAATTTGTTAGTGACTTCTTTATAACAATATCTTGAAAGCTAGCCTTATAGGACCTACATGTTGACCAGATGGAACTCTTGTAATTTTAACACAGCAGTATTTTATTACTTACGCTTGTTCTTAATATCCTTCAAATGCATGTATCATCTATGATTTGAGACTGAATCTTTTTTGGCAACAGCTAATGTATAATAATACCCAAATGACTGCACTAGTTAAAATTACAGCATTTTGGCCATACTTTTGTACTCCAGCATCTTTCTTCCTCTACATTTG